CAGGAAGATAAAGATGGGCTGTTGACCAAAGTTCTTAATGGCAAGGTGTCTCTCTTCACCCCTAACAGAGCCGTCCAGCCGCTCGTAGCTGTAGCCTTTTCAAACAAGCAACACGTATGTTTCTGAAATTCTTTCTATGCTCTTACCCTCTTACCTCATTCTCTATTCTCTCACTGCTGTCCTGAATCTTTTTATGGCAAATCCTCCTGCCTTGATTCTCATTTTATTGCCTTCAACTCCTTCATTCTTTCCCAGTTAAACCTTTATAAACTGAAATAGTGACCCCGACTTCTAGACTGACTGTTGGCAAAGGGTAATTTAGCTGAGTCTGAAGCAGAGACTCTTAGCATTTAATTTACTGCTTGGAAACACAACAGGAAAATTCAGAGCCAAAGTAAAAGAACGTTAGCACACAGTCCCCTTTCAGACTATGCTGTGCTGGCTGTTGGCCCCACAAAATAGGCCAACAACCATTGGATCCTCCTTATGCGAACTCCCATGGCCTTCAATGTGTGCTTTCCTGTGAGCAAGCAGTATGCGATATGGCCCTACACTTGGCTTTATTCTGCACTATTAGTTGTCCAAAACCATAAACACCAAACAAAAGCTTCTTTCATGGGAAATCCTAAGTAGGCATGGAGCCATGTGGATTGAAACAAAAGAAAATGTCCCAAGAACATTTTGGTAACCTTGCCAAAAATGGTCTGATCCAACCTGCCCTCGCAGACATGTTGGGGCCCCACTGCCAACAACTGTTTTAATCAAAAATTCATTTCCTGGTATGAATGTGGCCCTATTTGCGTTTTGTGCCCGACAAACTGAATCTAGAGCAACCCTGTTGCCTTCAGTGCAATTACTTCAGGACTCAGGTATATAATTGAACACAGGTATATAATGAAACATTGTTACCCTGCCATCTGTTAGCTCCATTTTATCGCGGAACCAAAGCTGAAACGACTTTGAAGAACTACATTTCAATGCCAGCTCATTTCAGGCAGGTGGTAGCACACCAAAGAGCTGAACTCAAGATCCTCCAACTCACAATGCCACTGCAACAATACGGTTTCTATCCACTAAGCAGCAATAAATCCCCATCTCAGTCCTTCCTCTATTCCAGGCAGATCAACCAAAATCAGAGAAACAATATATGGCAGAGATCATTAGGATAAGTCCTCTGCTGCCAAAGCGTGCAGAACATACCTCTATAGTCCATGTAGTCTTGCAGGATATCAAGCAGTTGAGTCATCTGAGAAAAGAGCAAGACACGGTGGCCACTGGGAGAAGAACATGAGAGACCGTGAGCCTCAACATACTGTGACAGCATTTCAGAGTGGTAGAGGGGTTACAATAGCTCAACCAGTCACTGTTACATAGCAAGGCCTCATTACCTCTGTACACTAAGCCCCACAGAGTCATGGCCCATTCCCTCACCACGTTTTCAGCCCCACATCCAGATGCAACCAGTCAGCCTCATCTGCCATCATCAGTTGCCATGTCTAGAGTGTGGAGTCACAGAGAGGTAACAAGGCTGTGGCACAGCTCTGCTGCTGGCCGGATCCAGCCTGGTGAGGATCCAAAGGAGCCTGTCTAAAAGGATCCTCAGCTTTAACCTAGCATCACGAGGTCTTCCTCACCACCTGACCTGCCACACCAGACTATTCTCAAATCACACACAAAGCACACTACTTAAATGCTGGGAAAATGTAGTATCAGCATCTCTGTGACAGTAGAGCACTTCCTCCTCCAGCAAATGACCCTCAAAGATCAAACACTGCCTACAATCGTGTGTAAGTGAGAAATCAACTCTCCTCCCTCCCAGCTCTAGGCCTTAGTGCTCTGTTTAAATCAGACTTCACTGTAGAGCAGAACGTTTCAAGTCCAGAATTTGCACAGGGCTGGTCCTGTGGCAAAGACATTCAAGGGTGAGGCACCTACTCACAAGGTGCTATACAGCAGAAGGACAAAGACCTCCACAACCACATCAGAACTTCCCAAGGTCTGTTGAAGCTCTATCCTTTGGAAGTACTCAAAGGGAAATCGCACCCCAATTAAGAGAGAAGGTAGAATTTGTGTCATGCAGGAGGCACTGCTTCACAGACTGCACAAGAATGCAAACCGCAGTTTGATTTGCCTGCCATCTGAGAGCTGGAGGTAAATACCCAAGGTCCTTAGGTTCCAGGTTCTGAATTCACCAGAGCCCAGCACTAGGAGTTCTAATGCCATTCCCAAAGCTGAAGTTTCAGCTTATTCTTGGTTTTTGGTCCAGCCAAATTTCTTTTTCACATTTGCTATGCATTCTGCCTCCCAGGCTAACACAGGCATGGTAGCACAAAGGAACTCAACTGATGCACTGGAAGCTACTCTCAGGAAACCCTCGGTAAAACCAGATACGCTGAATACCATGTCAGATGGTTATTCTCCCAGGTTCCCAAATATGGCAAATACAAGAACATGTGAGAGAGTTAGTGAAGTGTTTTGAGAAATGTTTAAAGGGAAGCTCCAAAAATCTTTGAGGTTCCTCTACCATCTCTACTGCAGCTCCTTACACTGAAATGACTTCTTTCAGGTAGTCAGTAATGTGCAATAAATAGGGCAGTGCTTGCATTGTGATGACTATCTGCTCAATCTATAGCTACATAAACTAGTTTGCCTTCCCAATTTACCTCTTCTCCCTATGTCAACCCCACCCTATCTTTCTCACCCCAACATGACATACCCAGCATACAAGAATGAAAGGAGTTTATCCAACAAACACAGCTTGCCACTGGCTTCAACAATATGGTCTCCAATCTCAAAGGGTTCTGGCTCAACACCTGGAACAGAAAGGAGTTTCAGAAGCAGACCTAATACTATGTAAGTAACAACTTAATGGTCAACCTCAGCGTGTCTGCACTGCCAGCTATCGCCAAGCAAACCCCCATGATGCTTGCTTGAGAAGTGATGGTCCTTCTCTGTCTCTAAAGAACACCCTCAGTAACTCATAAAGCATTGTGATTTCATTGTTTAAGTGAGAGTAGATGCACTGATGAGAAAACAAGCGGAGAGCTGCAGTAAGGAACTCAGACTTCACACAGTCCCCTACTTTATTCCTCATTATTGATGAACTGTCATATGTTGGAACTGGTCACAAACTCACAGCTGGTTCTGATTCAAGTACAACATTGTTTATTACTTGCTTCTTCTAAGCATTATACTGCCAAGCAGTAATAGAAAACCACTGTGTAAATCAAGAAACTTATTTCTTTCTATTTCAAGAGAGAGGAATGCTTTCTTACCATTGAAAAGGTACGGGTGGGCAACACATTTCCGAAGCTGAATTAAGACATTCTGAAGTGTAACCTTCCTTCCTGTTTCACTTTCAAATGCATCTGGAACAAAGCGCACAGAAAAGCAACTGAGCAGGAAAGCGCATGATCCATCAACGGGTGTGAGTCTGGGCACTGAGTGCTGCTCTGCAGTGGTTCAGCACTGGAGTATCTCTCTCTGCATATCATATCTGCATTTGAATTTCCATCTCAAGACTAATACATGTGTTTTCATAGACCAAACAAAAATTCCCTCACATTTTTTGAACAAGCCTTTAGAAAAAGACTCTCATGAAAACTACTCTGTCTTGTCAAACTCACTGGAACTTTCTGGACTCCCTGGAAGGGGTCACTTGTCATTTTTCTAAGAGTGAATTACAGATCTAGAAATCATCAAAAATAGTGAAAGAAATTTGGTGCAGTTCATTTGAATTTTCCAACAAAAAAAGTAATACAGCAGAGACAAGATCTACTGGGCAACCAGGAAATTAAGAACAGTTGCATGTTTGTGAAGACAAAAAGAAGGTATGTGCACATATCCTGACTTTAGAAGAAGAAGGTTCAGCCTGCCTGGTGATGTGCATGCAAAGTTCCATTGGCTCCTTGATCCACCAGGCATTAGCCCTAGAAGAACAAAGTGTCTCCATCCCTACAACACATAAGCACTGGCAAGCCATATGATGCGGTATGCATAGATGGAAGAGGAGGAATTCAGAGAGAAGCAAATACTTTCTCTCTCATACCTCAGGATGCTTTGTTATAATTAGTTCCTATGTGAAGTGACAAGGAGTGAGCTATTATGGTAAGAGTCTGTGGCTGCATTGTCTATATGGCCCTGTTTCCTACGAAACTCATATCTACATCCAGTATGTTTGAATTTGTTGTACGGCGTCTGTACGACTATTGGAAAATTTGTAGAGATCCACAGATCCAAAATTTCCTGTACCACCCTTTTGTCTGAACACAAAAACATGGGATAGGAGCAGGCTTACCTGGTGATAAGTATTTTTGATTACAGGACGGCCCAAAGCAGAATCCTGAAGCTGACCCTCCCCAGCTTTGCAAAAGCTCAGCTCTAGATTCATATGTCGCTTATTTTATCACGAGCTAAAACCACAAATCAAGCAGCCCAAAGCACTGAATTTGGCATGTTCATTCTATGCATATTCTGCAGGCTAAAGTATCTTCTCCTTCACTACAACAGAGCAGGAATTTACAAAAGGAATTAATTTTGGTTTTAAAATTAGCTGATAGTGTTCAAGCCCCTCAGTTACCTAGATCTTTCGTCAAAATGGCCTTGTAGTATTTCCTTTGCAGAGCTGACATCCCATGGTACAGAACCACTTCCACCTTCTTTGGCAGCTCTGCAGCCACCTCAGACTTGACTCTTCGAAGCAAAAATGGCTGCAGAAGATTGTGCAATTCTTTGGCTATGCAGAGGCAGGGAAAAAAACGAGACAAGATTATTGCATTAAATGTAAGGAATTTATACAATACCTTCACAACTATACTTTCAAAATAAACTTATAAGGAACTTTACATCTATTAGTGAAATGATTCAAGCCCAATTTTACAAACAGAGAAACCAAAACATAGCTGCATACCTTAAATACATAAGAACTACATTAACGTAAATAACCACTACTTTTAGTGGCTTTGTTTTAAAGCTAGTCAGCATTAAAAAAAAGCAAACAAAGGGGACACAACACATCTGCTTTCCAGTCAAGATAACAGCTGGTTCTGATTCAAGTACAACATTGCTTATTACTGACCTGGCTCACTCTCCTTTTCAATCGCTTGGTAATACTCAACAAACTCTTTCACTTGTTCCCTAGGAAAGATGTCAGGCTCAATAAGGCTGAGTAAGGAATACAGTTCCTGGAGGCTGTTCTGGATTGGAGTGCCTGTGAGTAGCAGGCTGAAGCCTACTGAGAACTGAAAGAACCAGCAACAAAACAAAATTATTAGGAGAAAATATCTGGAATGAAAAGTTACTTAATATACAACTCCACCCACGCCACTCTTAAGCTTAACTTAAAGATGACAGGTGGCACAGAACTGCCCGCAGAATGCTGCAAATGTCTGCCAAAACCATGCAACATAAGGTATGGCGTGACAGTCAAACAGCTCCACCAAACTGACTAGGATGATACCAATGCAAGGAAGACAGCAGAAGCAAAATTAAGAACAAAGTGCAAAACCGACACCATTAAAATTCTCAGATCTATGCACTCTACGGTCCAATACTGCATACTCAGTGTTAGGTAATGAGAGATGAGTGGAAAATGCTGTCGGAATAGGACAGTGAAATGAAACTGCAAAAGACTATGTTCCATTTCTGTTTGCTGGCTAACTGACAAACACAGCAATATTATCTGGTCCAAGCTGCTTACAGTAATCCTTGTAAAGAGACTTGGGGAATATGGTTACCTTTGAAAAAATACAAGTCTTCTCTCAAGTTTGGTAATAGAAAATACGCTAGGAGGAAAGCTAAGGTAAATCATTCCTATTCCTTTGTGACTACAACCAAAGCTCCTGAAATACAGACATCATGGACAATATGTTCAGAAGATATAAGACTTTCAGGAATTTAATGAAAATTTTATTTTTCAAGGTACTGTAGTTCATTGTTGCTGATGCCAGCCCAGACCTAATGCCCATGTTTCACTGCCATGGCAAGAAGTGTATCCTTCACTCAGGCATTCATTGTACTCTGGCAGGGTGCTTTGGAAGCTGGAGCAATTCTATTAATTTCAATAAAAAAGGGTGGCTCCATTAAATGGGACAATGGAAGTCAGTAGTTCATGACTCGAGGTCCTATGAACTAGGCAAGGGTTCCTTCACCCTCCCAGACCTGGAGATAGCCTCTTGTCACTTTATATTGTCTTAGGTCAGCCAGACTTCTACCACCTCAGCAGCACAGCTGTGGTTCAGTACTATGTCTGGCTACTTTACATTTTTCCGTCTCCCAAATTGCTCAATGTGTCAAGCCCAAATATGATTCAGAACAAGAGATAAGCTCCTCCATGCAAAGCCAAGAAGATAGGCCTTTATCTGTCTGCCACTAAATATGGGAATACATTCACCAACTCTGATGGAAACTGGTTGTGGCCCAGAGTTTAATAAATACTCAGAAGAACAGAGAATCTGTATGCTATACTGAAGAGAAAAAAGGCTTTAGACACTAAAAGATGGATGAGTTATTTTACCTCAGAAAGCGTCTTGTAAAGCAGAGAACTTTGATTTTTCAATCTGTGAGCTTCGTCTACAACCAAGGCAGCCCAGTTAAAGCTGAAAAAACAGCATCTTCAGTTAGGGGCAGACAATTCATTCTTGTCAGTACAAAAAGACTGAAATAAGCAGTGGCTCTGCTTGGCAGAACTTGAGATGGTCCTACCCCATGAACCACAAGCAAACATCACAAGCAAGGTGGGAGGAATTCACAAGTACTGGTTTTCAAGAGCCAAAGCAGCTTCTTAACTATAGCCTGGATGAGTTTTTCAGAAATCAAAACTAAATAAATTCATTTGAATTTTTTGCTTCTCTCTCCACCTCCACTTCTATAGGGAAAATGACATAAGCACAAGTTACTCAAACATTCAAGAAGGTCTACAGTTTGGAACAAAAGACACGTGAAACTAGGCCCTTGCACCTGTGCAAAAACCCAACAACTATGATCAGGTAGTGATGGCAGAGTGCTTACAAGCCTTTTGCAAATCACCCAAGACAGCAGCTTTAGCTTGTTCTGGGCTTGACAGAGCTATACGCAGTGTCTTATCAAGTAGGCTGCAGAATCACTGGTGACGTAGTAGATCCATTAGGCTTAATGAAAACTCCAGATCTTTTCAAACCTCAGTATTTGTGCCTGCTTACCACTAGGGCTTCAACTCCCACATCACAGTGATTTCCACATAGTCAAGTCTGGCTGATGGGTAGGCAGGGGAGGGAAAGCATGACCCTCCAGCTTTTCTTACCCACATGCTTCTCTTCCCAGTGGAATACAAGGGCTGGAATCACAGGGACCTACATTCTCACCACAGCTCTTCTGTGACCCTTGATTCCCCTCTTCGCTATTTAAGAGTCGTTCTCCACTGCCAGGACAGTGAAATGTCATTATTCTTATTCTACAGGCTCAGCAACTGAATCTCTCCACATTATATTAGCACAGGGTTCTTGCTCAACTCATTTGTATTGTTACACTGCTTGTAAGGAATGGTGGTGGTGAGACATCTGATAACTCTGACCGACCTTTACAAAATGCTCCAAGTGCTCCTACACAGGACAATGTACAAATGATTAGCAGCCCCTTTTTTCAGAAGGAATACTAGAGGGCAAAAAAACGCTTGAGTGACATGGCTTTGAGGTTAGGTTCTTCCTTTGAGAAGTAGGAAATTGCACTGGAGGTGACATTGCTGTGATACTAGGGCTAGTTACTTGCTCTTCCTGAGTACTACCTCCCAGGGCTAAGCTGCAAAATAAGCAGAATCATGCGCAGCAGTGCAGGACATGATATGAAACTGTAAGGACAGTATGGCCATAGCTACCTTTCATAAGGCCTGGCTTCTACCACGATGCGTTCTGGGAGATCCAAAATTGTGTCAGTGGGGGCCACTGGGTTTCTGCTCCTACAAAGATCCTGAGCCACTCATGATATCTGGCTGCCCCCAGCATTTGTCACAGCACTACCCACTACTGCAAGGCATTGGCGCTATTACTAAAAAATATGAAAATTCCTCTCCATTTCAAGTGTAGGCTTCTGTAAAATCCTGCATGGCCATGACAATACTTCCTACAGGCTGAACTTCAGCTGTATAATCAGTCTTGCTAGAAAGCATAATGCTCCATAAACCCTCCACAGTTCTGACTGGTGGCAGGAGGCAATAAACTTCAGGATATGGTATTAGCACATGATCACCATAGTATAATGCAGGTCAATTTCAGCAAATTTTGCATCTAATACCTTTATAATCTGAAGCTTTTGAGTATCTCCTCTGTTTTAAATATCAATCTTCTGGACTGATACTTAGTGTACTGCTATAAGCCACTATGTATCATATTATTTTGAGTTAACTGGCTTGAAAACTGTCCTTGGGGGAAGTTCATGTACATCTTAGCTGATATTAAAGATTCTTCACTGAAAGTTGGTAAAGGCAAAGCTCTGATCACAAGCAAAGAACATCCTTGGCTCTTGTGAAACAAGCATGGGATCTCACACACATACAAACATACACTTAAGAAATCGCTGACAGACATGCAGAATTAAATTTGAAAAAAGTAAAACCAGACTCACAATTTTAGAAATGCTGCATCTTTCAGACAAATCTGCAATGGAAAGAAATGAACCATGATTTATGACTTAAGTTAATTCACCAGTTAAGAAAAAGAACATCTTTTTGCCTACTTGCAAACTATGGTGGAATGGAGGAGTGGAATGAAGCCACTTATTACCTGAGGAAAGTAACATGACAGCTATTGTAACCACAAGCTATTGTGATCCTACATTTTAACTCCTGTCTGGCAAAACACCAGCAGTAGAACCTCAGAGAATTAATGGAAATTTACACACGCCATAAATGCTCTTCACTTCTGTAAAGTTTTTCATATCTTTCTCACTAAGAAACACCATGCACTTTCAGCATCACAATCTTTTTCTCTCCAACCAAACATATGCTTCAGTGGATTAATCTAAGCTATTACAATGACCTAATAGTATCCTAAAGTGTAGACATTGCTTGCCCAACTTCAGATTCAGAGGAAGAGCAATCAGGTCACTCAGGAGAAATCCTTAAAAAGCACAGAATTTTATCATCAAAAGCAACAGAGACAAGAAAAGTCCTAGCTAAGTGAGTATCTCGATACAGTCGATTGCTTTCTTGGACTCATTTCAGCATGAGCACCTCCATTTATCACATTCAGGACAAAGGTTATCACTGCTACCTGCTCCCACTTGTGCAACGTGGAAAAAGATTCAGGTTCAGAGTGGTCAGCACAGGTCACAAAACTCCCAGCGGGAAGTGACAGTAAAATACTTGGAGAGAGGGAAAGCAAAAGGACAAAGGGAGATTGTGGGGAGGGGGCAGGGAGGAAAGGAGCTATAAGAGATGCTTTTCATCTAATTTCATGTTGATGTGTTTGTTAAGAGATTGTTAAAATAAAATCAAAGTGCTGATATGAAGTTACACCTGAGTGGGACTGACTCATAAGAGAAAAATAAGGGCTTTTTCCCACTCCAGATAACTAAGCATCAGATCATGCAAAGTCCAAAGCAGTGACCAAGGAAGCAACCCTATTCTGATTGGTTCCATTTACAGCAGGACAGGAGCTTTTCAGGAGAGCTCTGATCAGATTGAGCCCAACGTCCTATCAATAGGAACCTCACCATTTTGCAGTCCAGGAATTAGAGTTTTGTCTGAGAAGGGCATGCTGAAGAGGGCACAGAAAAGGCAAAACCTTTCTAAGTGTCCTTGCATTGCCTAATTAATAGAACCTTAATAAACATCACACATGTGTACGCTTCTATTAAATGTTAAAGGCACCATGCAAAGACAATGCAGTACCATTCAGCATTAGTTAAGGATATGTCTGGTTTTTTTACTCAAGGTGTGATACAGCTATGCGGTAAAGCTGGGGTTAAAGTAGATTATCTTAGGGACACAAAAACTGCAGCAACTTATATCAGTTGGTGAAATGGGTTACAGAGTAGAAAATCACTGAGGAAAGTCAGAGGTGAGTACAGACGACAAGGCATGAGTTGAGTAGTACAGAGGAATGGAGAACGCGAGGAAAAACTTAAGCTCTCCTTTCAAGTGACAAAGACGTCACGTACCTCATATGTTGTCAAAAGCGCATGGAAGTGAGATTGCTCTTTCAAGTTCTGCTGCAGTTTGGGTCGTTCCTCCTTGCTGCCTATGTATGTCACAAAGGAAAGACCTGGAGCAAACCTGTTGTCAAGAAAAAGGTAGAGAAAAAACAGGGAGCCAAGCTAAGTCTTTCATGTGTTTATGACCCTGGACCCCATTATCAAACGTAGCTACTGCGCAGGTAACGAGAACCTCCTATCCAAACACCCTACCCTCCTGTGAGATGTGGCTGGATCTCAGCTTCTGAATCTAACCCCTTCCTGATTAATTTGCATCTCAGGTTGGCACCTCAGCTGCTGGTTCTGGTTTGGACAAGTCCCAAATAAACTACGTTCTCCTAGGTCTCAAAGTCCAAGGCAGATGATTGAAAACCAGTCGCATGGCTCATCTGCCATTCTGAACTGAAAAAGCTCATAAGAAGCAGGTAAATGAATACAGTTTGCCCAGTTGGGACCAAAGAATTGGCCTAAATCATGCTAAAATAAAGGCAAACAATGTTTGCAGCAAACAGGTCCCAGTCAGGGCCCCAAAAATCTATCCTCTTAGTCAAAAAGCATGTAAAACCGGTTCCATGGAGGAAGAGTTGGGACCATAAATTCTTCCTCATTTAATCCCACCACTGGTATTTCCCTAATGTTCCTCCTGGATAGCTGTTCACTCCTGATCTAAGAAGGGATGCATTTTCCCTCAACTATTCCAACCGCAAGTCTATCCAAATCAGGCCAGCACACTTCAGAATGTAACCTGGATGACTTCAGATGCTGGGAGACAGCATTGCCCGACAGCCACACAGACAGACTTCTGTTCTAATCTTTAACTTTCTGCCCTTCCTCTTTAAAGGAAAGTTTGGGCTCCAGCTTAAAAATGTATATATTCCGGGCACAGCGAATGTGCCATTGGCACAGTCACGGCACCCCAGTGAAGACGGGTTGCATGCACAGATGTAATGTATTTTGCATGCATACGTGAGCATGCCAAGAAAGATACTATTCAACTGGGGTCTTACCTTTCACCATACAGAATCCTGGCTGTCTTCAGCAGATTTTGCCTAAGAGAGGCTGAGCATGGAGGGTTACAAAACAATAAAAACCAAGGAGCTAGGGGGGAGATTTGTACTAAAAGTCAGCCAATAGTAAGTTGGATGAATTCATGTATATCACAGCATTGTAAAGACTACACATTAACTGCAAGTGGCGTTTGCACTGATTTGTAGGTTTGGTAGCTTCCCTTTTTAGTTTTTTTTCCTTTTGAAAGGATGAAAACTGTTGGACTGAGCCCATTTGAAGTGAATCTTTGTAACTTGCTGTACAAGAGTATGATGAGCTGGACAACTGTTGAAACTTACCTCTCCAGTTCCTCCTTCCAGTTGCTCAGAACAGACAGAGGACAAAGTATCAGAAATCTCTCTTTGTTTGTTAATTTTTTTGTCAAATAAAGAAGTAGAGAAATAGTCTAGAAGGCAAGGAAGATAATTTTTTTTATACATCACTTTCTGAAACTATCAGTTTGTTATTTAAGACCCATTGAATACCACCAGCTGAACCAAAGCACAAACGTTCATTTTCCAACAAAACTGAAACCCATTTAAAAACTTACCAAAAAAAAAAAAGCAGCATTTAATTTACACCTATAAATTTTAAGCCATGTGTTGACAAACCCCAAAATCATCTGTGTATTGTCTCTTCAACTCTGCGCACTATGAATTACACATTCAGATGTCTGTGTAAAATGACATCATCCTCTCTGTACTGGCTGTGTATTGTCTCTTCAACTCTGCGCACTATGAATTAGACATTCAGATGTCTGTGTAAAATGACCACTCACGTTTTTACAAAACCCTGAAACCTTTTTGGAGTGTCACTCAGGAGCTAACAGGGGTTTTAAGTGATTAAGGAATGAAAGAAGTGATGAGCTCTCTCTTTTGAGTATGGATTTCAGGATGGGGCTGCTTAACTGACCAATCATTAGGGTGATTTTCCTTTCATTCTGCAGAAACACTGAGCTAAATTAGGCAAAGATCATTTTCCAGAAGAAGAAGAAGACAACACACCTGACAAGTCTTCCCAAGACCCATCTCATCACCCAGGATACAGCCATGCCGGACTTCGTAGCATTGCACCAGCCAGTTTACACCTTCTATTTGATAGGGACGAAGCTTAATGCCTGGGAATAAAAGCAATTTGTTACATTTACACAGCCATCCAATACACACTTACGCCTTGAAGCCACCAGAAACAGGTCCTGCGCAACCAGCCATCCCAAACAACTGCCTTGCAGGGAGAGCACAACAGTTGTCAGCAAAGCTGGTTTACCCTGCCAGAGAGCAGAGACACCACTGTTTCAGCACATCCCTTAAATTAAACCATATTCAGGAACTTGTACACACAAAAATGCCCCGAGTCAGTACAAAGGCCTGTACAAGGAACCTGACCTGCTAAAAGATGGCTTGATTTTCAGCTCCAGCCACTTTTAAAAATATGTAAGTACTACATCCAGGGACACACTTTAGGCTACCAAAAACGTCTGTAACAGTCTACTATTGTGCAATAATAATTTCTCAACAAGATGTTTTCCAGCTTTCCTACGCTTAAACTAGGACAGAGCTCAAGTGTAGGTCACCTTAGCTACTACCACCATTGCAATCCTTATTACGGGGCACAATATATCAAAACAAACACAAAACAAACCAAGTAGGAGTTCTCAAGATCTTTCCTTGTACTTGGACTCAAGTGCTGCGTCTTAATAACGTTGCGTCATTGCCACCCTCTCTCCTCCCCGGGGAAAGGTGCATGCCGAGCATGCGAAGCAACTCACCAGCCCGCAGGAAACAGAAACCCAAACTAGCCCAGGGATTGAAATATGGGCTCCCCGCAGCTAAGGAAAACACGCAAGCAGGATGGATAGCCCAAGCGCTCCCCTTTAATGCCTTTCCCCTTCAGGCAGCGGAAAGCACTTCAAAGCATTCACCCTCAACATCGACCCACTCTGAGGCTGATGAACGTTGCCCTGTTGGATCTGCTCCCGGAGCACAGAGCTGCCCAAGGCTGAGAGGCCGGAGCGGTAAAAGCAGGGCTCTGGCAGCCG